AAGTGACCTTCCAGTGTCAGTCGTTTACTGCCATTCACAAATCCTCTCCTATGACCTCATGGTCATAAAGTAAAGTGTTTATCGTATGAATTTCGCCAGAGTAGAAAGTCATAGAAAGAGTAGAAGGTCATCCGGGTTATTTTGCCTGCTCTTTTACTGTACATTTTGACATACTGTTTTATCACATACTGTTTTTCGCCTATAGAGAAGTATGCCGATTTTTGGGCACAGCCATTGTGTCAAATGAAGCATATCATCCAGGTATATTCACAAAACGTGCACATTATCTGCACATACAGTACTGTAAACACAGTATCAGTAGAACTTTGGTATTTTGCTATCCCCAACCTAACAAATCTTTTCCACACATTTACGGTCATCTTCATCCTAATGGTGGAATTACACCACTGCATGTCTTTTAATGAAGCGCATAATGCATCCTCAATGTCTGTACAACTCAGTTAAGCCACTGTTCAATCTTGCCACCATTTAACAAACTTCATAAGGCAAACATATGTAACCAGGCATTCAATTACAGCCATTCCAGGGCTTCGTCAAGCTGTAGTTGGCCAGTTGAAACTTTATGCCAATCCACTGCTTGATTTGTGGAGATGCAATGAAACGCACAAAACACCAACATTTCAGAAGACGTTTCACTCTGTTGAGACCTTGAACACTGAGTATTACAGATTTAGTGCTATATTACCAGAGATTGAGTTAAGGAGAGGTGAGCCCTCATGATAGCCATTTCCACTGCATATGGATGGATAACGAGTTCCAGGTGTGTGTGCCAGTGTCTCAGATGAACCTATTAAAACTTTCATACTTTCATACTCACAGCCTCTTAAGCTCCCCCTACTAAATATGCCACTTTATATATGCAAGATGAGCCTAATTTAGTTCCATCTTCATTATTTTGTACCTTATCAAACTGTTGAAGGGCCTGTGCTCACCGTTACAGCTTCATCAAGGTTTTGTGTGTGTGTGCGTGTGTGTGCATGTGTGTGCATGTGTGTGTTTGTTTCCTTTGCATTCCAAAGAGGTGAGCAGCCTGGAAACAACTGCCTCCAACAAGTTTTTTTCCTTCTGTTGTTGTAATTGTGGGAAGTGATTATTGTAAACACACACACGCTCACTCACAGTGCCCGATATGAATGTACACCACCACATCAGGAGAAAACGGCAACCAGATGTGCAGAATGACCAGAGGAAACACAGACTATTAAAGGTAGAGTGAGAATATGTATAATATGAAGTGGTGTAATCACTACGTTTCACCATCTACAGTAATTAGGTTATACAACAAACATACAGTCATGTGAAAAAGAAAGTACATCCTTTTGAATTGTATGGTTTTATGTATCAGGACATAAAACATCATCTGGTCCTTTGCAGGTCTTAAAATTAGGTAAATGCAACCTCAAGTGAACAACGACACATGACACATTACACCGTGTCATTATTTATTTAACAAAATCTAGGCCAAAAGTGTGCAGTGGTGAACGAAGTGCACATACCATGTACTTGAGTAAAAGTAAAGATACTCAAGGTAAAATATTACTCAAGTAAAAGTATAAGTGCTGCCTCTAAACATTCACTTGAGTAAAAGTACAAAAGTATTTGCCTTCAAATGTACTTAAGTATCCAAGTACTTTGATTTTTTTTATGGCTATAATGTCCTATTATAATTTGTCACAAGACTCTTGCTTAACTCAGTATAAGTGAAGACTAATGTCACTCTTGGCACACCAATCTATTAATGAAATGACATTAATTAGTCTGATATATATATATATATAAATATATATATATATATATATATATATATTTGAATTGAATAATTTTTTTGTGTGTTTAATTTTGGAGGGAAGGGGACTGTTCCCATAAGGTATAAAACATTTACAGTATTTACTGTATATATTTTTCTCCAGCGCCTATGGTCATAATTGTTAACATCTTAATGTTATGATACATTCACATAAACCTGCACAACGCCATTAAATATATATATATATATATATACACACACACACACATATTCACACACGCGTGCACACACACATAGGCTATATATATATATATATATTCTATATTCTATGTTATGGGAGCAGCCAATTTCCCTCCAAAATTAAACACAAAAATGTATTAATGCAGTGTTTCTGCTAGGCTACTCCCCAGAAAAAAAAGCTATTATATGCAAGTCATTTTAGTGGCAACGTAAGCAATGTACATTATGCGTCAACCAATAATTGCTGCAATAATAGCTGCTGCTCTCTGTCCCGCTTAAATTGTCAACGCGATTTGTTTGGAACTTTTGAGAGCCACATGAATAACGTGACCGTGCGGCGGCGAGATCACTGTCACAACCATCTATGTTCGCAACTCTCATATTTAACGGCTCTGGTTCACAGCGTTTAATTGCTCTGGTTCACAGCGTTCTGGTACCGCCAAGGCAAGTTCAAAACAAAGCGCTCGCGCGCTGTACTGTGATTGGCGGCTCGTTTGACCAGTTACGTTTTATCCACTCATAAATAAAAAGGAACGACTGATTTTGAAAATGTAGTAGAGTAAAAAGTAAGATATTTGACTTTGAAATGTAGTGGAGTTAAAGTAAAAGTCTCCCAAAATGTAAATACTTGAGTAAAGTACAGATACGCAAAAAAGCTACTTAAGTACAGTAACGAATTACATTTACTTCGTTACTGTCCACCACTGGATGTGTGACAAACTAAGTAAGCCACTGTTCAATCTTGCCACCATTTAACAAACTTCCATATGAATTGCAGCAGTCAGGGGCTGCTAATCAAATGTCTTCGATTAACGGATCATCAGCAGCCGTGACCACCTCTAGAAGTTTAGGCAGTTTGTTGGTCTAGAGCATTCAGACATCTTTATACTGTATCTGTCATCCCGTTCCCTTAAGACATTCATTTCCTAAACGATTTAAAGACAAATGTTTAAGGAGCTGTACTCAGCGTAATTGTGTCATCTTTCTCTGCTGCTTGTGTAACATGGCAGATATGACACTGGAACAATCTCTGCTGTCGTGTGATCAGTCAAGGCCCTCGAGCTATAACAGTCTCTTCTTTCACTGCAAACTTTACGCTGTCACAGCTCTTCAGATCTAGTGCTAAAGTGTTCATAATCTGCTCCACTGTATGCAGCTGTTAGATTTATGAGGATTGTGCTTTAGACAATATAAAATACTTAGAGTACCTGGAGGCGTTTGATATTTGAAGGTGCTGGAACTCATTTAGCTCTTGCGGTTTTCCATAAGTCATAAGCTGTGGGACTGCAGCTGGGAGGAGCACAGCGACTGTAAATATTCCTCAGTTACTTGCTGTTCTAAGGGCATTATGGCTAGTTTGCTTGCTTTGAAACAATCTATATTGTATATAAAGCGCTATATAAATAAAGGTGACAACATTAGCATTGTTACATTAGCAAGCATCACTGTTACTATTGTTCACTTCACACTCATTGGGCCTCATTTATCAATCTAACGTAGAAACACACGCAGAAACAAGCGCAGAAATCATTTTGTGACAGCGTGAAGCGTGTGATTTATGAACCACCACAATCATGCCTAGCAATTTGGCCTCCGCCACTTGTTCAATTATCAAACCACCAACTGACAAATTCAAAGCAGGGGAATCTTTTTAAAGATGATTAGATCCCAACATCATACATTTACTCTTCACAACATTAAACATTAATCAATACTAATTGAATAAATACCGATTTTCAATTAATTGTAGTTCATTATTTAATAAAGTAAATATTTTGTATAGATCATTTATTTTTCAATGAGCAATGATTCATAATAGATCCTCTTTTTTGTTGTTTAATTTTGTAACACAATTTCTTAATTGCTTGTACCTTTCCCATATTCCTTTGTCCCCTGATACGCTTGCCCCTGACTTTAATTATCTCTTTTTTCTCATATATTCTTTAAGTTCAGCATATCATGGAGAAGCAATATTTCTTACTGTCATTCGTCTTAATGGGGCATGTTTGTCAACAATTGGCATTAATAAATCTGTAAAAACCTCCAAAGCTAGATCAGGATCTACTTCCCCTAATACTTGTGACCAATCCGTATTTCTAATTTTGCACAATATTGAATCATTGAAATATTTAAACATCCGTTTGATTATTATTTTCTGGCCTGGTTTGAGGATTTGGGTTTTTCTGTTAATTGCGATTAATAAATTATGATCACTAAAGCCAACACAAATTGAGATTGCTTTTGAACACAAATCTGTTGCATTAGTAAAAAGTAAATCTATGCATGTTTCAGTTTTTGTCCCAACAACATTAAGAAAAATTATTGTTGGCTTAGTGACCACTTGTGACAAATTGCTGGTATCAGCTATAGACTGCAACTTATTTTTCAATGAGAAATTATTCAAACTCCAATCAATATTTAGGTCACCTAAAAATTAAAACTCCATGTCTAAATCACAGACTATATCCAACATATAACAGATATGATCTAAACAGACTATTGCCTATAGCAGCAACCAACTAAAATAGGCTTTAAGTGTGGTAACTCCAACCACAGCGCTTCAACCCCAATACAACCTAGGTCCAGTCTTTCCTGGTATATGATCGTGAACATAAAAAGCCACTCCTTCTCCATTTTATACTTCTGTCACATCTATATAATAGGTATCGTTAATAAAGTATGATCATTAATAAAGTATGAAAATACAATTATTAAAAACATTTATAAATCAAGAATAAAGCATTTATAGCTGCATTTATAAACTGCTTATTAATGTCTATTAATGCTTTACAAATGATTAACTATTTACTGATGCTTAACTAATGATTCATAGCATCATGCAGTTATTATAAAGTGATACCAGATTTGATTAGATGAATCTCACAATTTACCAAGATAATAAACAAGATACAAGAGAAAGACCCAAACAAACTCAAGCCACATTATCAGATGCATCAATTTAATCCATGTAAACAAAGTTTGACCACCTCAGTACAATGTTATCAGTGTGAAATCAGAAGAGAATCAGAACAGAAACATGCGGCAGAGAACATATTGGATGTGATTAACAGCACATGCTGCCGACACAATGCGAGTCATGCGCAAAATGGCAAATTAAAATTCACAGTCACAAACCACTCAATGAGGGTCTGTGACTAATTGCTACGATACATAGGAACATTTATGGAAACAAGAGCACAGATGTTCATTGAGAGGCAGCATTAATGCATCATAAGAGAGTCAGTTACAGGGCAGCGCTGCAGTGTGTTCATTGCTCGACTACAGGCCTGGATGTTGATATATTAATAGGCCTGATGTCTTTTTCCTAAAAGTATCTGGTAAAAATAGCAGAGCTTTGTGACATACAATAATATTTTGAGTTGTGATTAGCCGTATTGCTTTTGGACTGGAGTGTACATCAGAGAGGGGGTCCCAGGGACGACACAGAACCGTATTTGTAGGCCGAGGGCAGTTTGAACACAGGCGTTTCCCATAATGACTCTCTGCGGTAGGCCATATTATGGGATGGACTCATCGCAGGCTCCCGTAGACCACTGGAGAATTCCCTACTGCAAGAGATACTTCTCGTATTACTCCGGGCGTTCATGCTAAGATAGAATAGTTTTTTCAAGATACAAGACAGTAGAGTCATTCTTTAGTGGAAGAAATACCTGACAGTGGCACTGAATGGCGTTGAATGGCTTCCCATAGAGCTCTGACTTGATGCCCTGTGATGAACTGAACCTAAAAGGAGGAGACCATTCATTACAGAACAAAGTATACAGCTAGATCATATAAATGGATTGTTGATATCATTGAGAAGAGTGGATAAGTACTTCTGACATCTCAGAAGCAGCACTCCTTTCACAGAGTCGAAAATAAAATAAAATGTTGGCCGATATATTTGCCCAAAAACTGTGAAAACTTAAACCAAAACTTTTTAATGTAATTCTGTTAATCTATATATGATAAATTATTTTATATTGATATATTATAGCATTTCACTAACTGGATTTAGGTATTAGGGGTGTAAGAAAATAGATACATGTGAATATCACAATATGTTTGTATTGATTCTTAAAAACACTATCGATATTTATTTATTAGTTTACATCCAAGATTTGTGTCAGTGGCTTTGTGTTTGGTTTAAACCCAACCGCTAGATGGCAGTGTTATTTCAAGTCAAGTCAAGTCATCCTCATTTATATAGCACTTTTAACAATGTAGATTGTTTCAAAGCAGCTTTACAGAGATAAACTTAATATAATTTAAGGTAACACAGATTGGTTTAGATTTCAGAATGTAAACTGTGATGCGGAGAAGCGCAAAGGTGCATCACTAGCTTTAGCATACCCAGCTAACAAGACGATAGAAATATAGCAGCTCCCGCCATGGTGTTCAGAGCTAAAGTGTGGACTCATTTTGACTAAAGAAACCACCAAGGAGATCGACAAGAGTCATGTTGTTTGACAAGAGACACGCTGTATTATTATTTTATTCCAGGCCAGTTTTCAAATCTGTTTTAAAAATGTTTTCAGGCCCCCAAAACGCTGTGGTGTCACTTCGTAAAGAAAAACTATGTGGCTATATCCAAGTACTAGCCACTCTTCTCGAAAATAAGAGTCGAAAATAATGGACTCATAATGGACTCAAATGTAATTCAATTCTTTTGTGTAATCTGTATGATAAATTATTTTATATTGATACATTATAGCATGATATTGAACACGCATGACGTCATCGTTTTCACAAATTTGCGTTTTTGTAGTTTACACGGAGACTATAATGGTTTCGTTTTCAAAACCTTGCACTTTGAAATCTGTTTTCAAAATGTTTTCATAAAAAGTATATATACTGTATATATATATATATTAGGGGTGTAACGATACACGTATTCGTATTGAACCGTTCGGTACGAGGCTTTCGGTTCGGTTTTCGGTACGCATTTTTGAACCGAACGGTTCGTTGGACCATTTTTCCTGCCGACCAAAATTTCGTTATTTCAAATGAAGGCGCGTCACGCGTGGCAAGCGCGCTCATAATGTGCGTGACCACAACATTGCCCAACATCAAATGGCAAATGTAATGTAAGCGGAACGAAACCACTCGTTATTGTGTGGTTGAAGGACCGTTTATCAGTTTGGACAAATACAGCGCGAGCCGATCTTAATCATCAGCACTGTTACTACACAGCCAAATCCAGTAAAGAAAGCATTTGAATTCGCCACTGAAGTAATAACATCGCTGCAAGATCTAGTGAGAAACATTCGCATTTCTCCGTTATTAACGGATCAAACAGCGCTGACGTGGAAACCAGGTAGAAACATTGTGCCATGAATGAACTATCCAGTGTCCACAGATCAGCAACATTCACCATGGGTTTACTGTAGTAACACTACTAACTGTAACCATGGAAGTTTGGCAGGAATAGTAGGCTATAATGCTTTCAAGTAACATCACGTCGGTTTTATTTTGACATTATGAATACAATTGCTGCCCTCAAATGTTAATCTGAACTAAAATAAACCTTTGTTTATAACTACTACAATATTACATTTAATTTTGTCCAAGGAGCTGTTTTGTTTTATAAGCTCCTAAGAAAAGTCAAGTATAGCTCCATCATTGCTCAAAGTTAAAAAATATCATACTTTATGATGTTAGTTTTAATAAAAATATAATTAAAAAGATTAAATCAAGGAAATTTCTCTGGCATTTCTTTCTTTTTGCTGTATCGGAAACGTACCGAATCGTACCGAACCGAACCGTGACACAAGTGTATCGTATCGAACCGAACCGTGAATTTTGTGAACCGTTACACCCCTAATATATATATATATATACTTTTTATGCGTTTTGGCCATTCATTTACATGACAACAGCATTTTGGGGGCCTGAAAACATTTTGAAAACAGGTTTCAAAGTGCAAGGTTTTGAAAACGAAACCATTATAGTCTCCATGTAAACTACAAAAACGCAAATTTGTGAAAATGATGGTATGTAGGTATGTATATACTGTATATATATATATATACCTATACGGTAACACTTTACAATAAGGTTCCATTAGTTAACATTAGTTAATGCATTAGTTAACATGAACTAACCATGAACAACATCTCTGTTCAGCATTAGTTAATATTTGTTAACGTTAACTCGTACTAATGCATCAATTCACATTAACAGCACAGTTAGTTAACATTAGTTAATGCATTAGTTAACATGAACTAACCATGAACAGTGCCTGTAAATAGCTTTACTGTTTTGTAAGGTTAACTTACTGTACATATTTACATTAGTTTACGTAGCAGTTGACACACACTAAGAATGAACATTTCTAACTCACCATGTTACCCTAAATGTAAAAATACATTTAGTGTTGTGTACCTTATCAACACTCTTTCATATACTGGATATAAGGCATTGATTTGTTGGTAAACATAATTTTACAGCGGAAAACAAATGTTGTTCATGTTTATACGCACTTTACTACCATTACTTACATTCAAATACGTATATGGATTTAGTGAAAAGTGTACACTATTTCAACATTAACTGATGTGTTACTAACATTTGTAGACTCTTTATTGACATGACTTAACATTAATAAAGTATTTATTAATGGAATTTATAAACCTTATTGTAAAGTGTACACTATTTCAACATTAACTGTATGAGAACTAACATTTGTTTTCCGCTGTAGAATTATGTTTACCAACAAATCAATGCCTTAATATATATATATGAAAGAGTGTTGATAAGGTACACAACAGTATTTTTACATTTAGGGTAACATGTTGAGTTAGAAATGTTCATTCTTAGTGTGTGTCAACTGCTACATAAACGAATGTAAATATGTACAGTAAGTTAACCTTACGAAACAGTAAAGCTATTTACAGGCATTGTTCATGGTTAGTTCATGTTAACTAATGCATAATGTTAACTAACCATGCTGTTAATGTGAATTGATGCATTAGTACATGTGTGAGTTAACGTTAACAAATATTAACTAATGCTGAACAGAGATGTTGTTCATGGTTAGTTCATGTTAACTAATGGATTAACTAATGCTAACTCATGGAACCTTATTGTAAAGTGTTACCATGGCATATAGGGAGTATATACATACCTAAAGAATCCTGCAAGCACTTTACTAATTTCCCATTACTTAGATTGCACAAAATACTAGTAAATGCAAATGCAGATCCCACTGTTTTGATTAAATAATCAACCTTTTTGCTTAGGTTTTATGCATAGTGGGGTGTTCTTTATGACAGTTTTTCTAAAATTAGATCCTCTTCCTAAAAAAAAACAAGATATCTCACAACATATCGCTATGTATCATATCGTGTCATGATAGGTATCGTATATGTATTGTACACAGCCCAGGTATTGATATGCCATTTCCCATGAAACGATCAACATAAACTGCAAAAAAAAAAAAAAACACACGTTATATGTATATGATAGCGTTCACACAGAGTGTGTTCTTAAATTTTGTGTGCTCTGCTTTGTAATTGTTGGACTGTGTACCCATGCCCCAAACAAACATCTTTGGCTGTTGCATCTCAATTTTAAGATTTTAAGAGTTAAAAGTAGTCCTATGTTCTGTATCAGTCAGTTGCCCTTTGTCGAGTAGGGGTGTTCAATTCTGGATTTTCAGGAGTTGAGTCCAATTCCTGACTCCCACCAAAGGATTCCAGGAATTGACTGCATTTGCTGTAATTAATTATAAGCCGGTTTCATACGGTTTAATTTTGGCCACGATTTACATATTCGCTGACAGCCGATTAATGACCATTGTGAATACATTATACCTGCGATGAAATTCTAGCAGTGTTAAAGAACATTCCTGCAGTGTTACTTCTCCTACGACAACCACCAAATCAAAAACCACTACTGTTTGCTAGCCACCATTTCTATCCCGCATGTAAATGCAGCTCACGTTCACCATAGTCACTTACGATACTGTCTTATAAACTTACATTGTTTGAAAAAATATATATTTATAAAGAAAACATGTTTGTAATTCTGAGAATCAGAATTTTTGTGTAGGCTAGTCCACTGGTACTGCACATAGGAATTGACTTCAAATCTACTTTTTCACCGTCATTGACTGAATTTTCCATCTATCCATGTTTTCACTGTTATACGGTAGGGGGCGCTATTATGCATCTTCTGAAATAGTACAGGATCTCAGAAACAAGTGATAGAAGATTGCTTACTAGGGGGGTGTCACAATATATCGTGTCACAATATATCGCAATACAAAAATGCAACAATATGTATCGTGGACAGTGACTGTAAGAGCCTTAATTGGAATAATTAAAATTCAACACTAAAGGCATAAATGTTTGAGTAAATATTTAAATTAGTTAAGGTTTATGTTATTTATGTACATTCGTTGAGCACCCCCGTTTATGTTGTAATGGTTTGCTCTGTTTTAGTATTGGACTGTCTTTAGCGCCTTTAAGAATTGGCGAGGGAGGCTTGTGGCAGAACACCGCTTGGATTCACTAAAGGACATTCCACGAACATCAGCGAACTTTAGAAGGAACTGTAACTGTTGCTGTGTTTAGAAGAGGATTTCATATAAAGTGGAACATTTATTAGCCACTTCAGACAGACTATTCGCAAAGATTTCTCTCAGAGGGAGCTTTCTTCGCATTGTAAGTCTTTTCACAAGTGTAGTTTGTAATTTAGAAGACAAGAAACGATTGCAGCAGCTCAAGATTACTGCGATGGTT